AGAACGGCTAGGTTGCTGTTTTTATTTGGATTACTTGAATGGGAATTTATGGAATTGGTTATTGGATTGATTTACGGAATTAGTCATTGTTTATTCGTTTGTTTTGATTGAATTGATTTCCGCTGGTTATGATTGGTTTGATTGTTGAGAATTGTTAAGTGTTAAGAATTATTATTTATGGGAATAATAATCCGAGTTAAAAAAAAAAAACGGGTCGGGTTGCTTTAATTTCATTTAAAACTATATGTCATGTTGGAAATCTCTACATATTCTCATTAATTTTTTAACATAAACCCATTAATACATGTTTTAAAATACAAATCCAACTAAATATAACATTTTAGACTTACCATATCATCTATTTTTAATTTTTTTATACATTAACAAGTTTTTCATTATTATATTTATAACAATATTATCTATTGTGTATATATGTATTTAGATTAGTACACTATACAAATAACTTTATTATTATGTAGTTTACATATTTAATCACACTTACAAATATCTTTATATTTCATTATTAGAAAACATATATTATTTTTTGTTTGTTATATTCAATAAATTCATATAAATCTAAATTTTATCTGATTGATCGTATTTACTATAATTTACACGAATAATGAAAATCAACTTGAAAAGGTGGCATTTTTGAAAAGTGACATTTTTTGAAATTCTCTTGCATTAACATATGTTTGATCAAAATTATTATATTTATGTACAATACATATCATTTTGCACATTTATAGATATTATAAATTATATACTTTATCATATGTTTAAATATAAAAAATTATATATATTAAAATCGATTAGTCAACCTATTTAATTATTTAATCCCGTGTTTGCCTCGGGATCAAAATCAAGTGTTATATTATTCGTCAAAGTTAATAGAGACGTACGGCTGGGAAAATTATTTGTTAAATTCGCTCCGACTCAATGTTCGGTTTGATCCAATCCGAAAAATCTGGATATCCGTTATGAATCAAATAGTAAAATTTAGTAGCCGTTTAAAGTGAAACAAATCACAAATAGTGATTTTAAAGATTCAAATATCCGCTCCG